GAGAATGATGAATTGTTTTATTGAGATGAATTGCAAAACATCAATTTCCGTAGATCAAAAAATAAAAATATCACTCATAAATTTTTTTAATTTATTAGAAATATTTTTTAAATACAAGTTAGTTAGAAAATTATGTTTATATTTATTTATAAATTATTTTAAAAAATTAGTTATACAATTCATTCACAACATAAGACTAAAATTAAACTTTTATGCGTGATTTGTGTAATCACTGTCTAAATATTCCATCCATCTACTAAAATTCAAACCCCTTCTTCTCATTCCCCTCCCCTTTCCCAATTCCCCTGTTACAAAAAAAAATAAATAAATAAAAAGAAAAAAGAAAAAGAAAAAGAAACAAACACAACAAAAATAACTAGAAAGAGACAAGTACCTTCTGGTTGACTGTTTTTATTTTACCGTTTAAATTTGACAAGGTTCAAATAATAAAACAAAACAGAAACTATATCTAAATAAAGGAAAGAAAAATCTTCTCCGTTGGCTGATATGACCCAACACGTTTTGGACTGTCGGGTACATTATTTGGAGCCTCAGAAATATTTCAATTATTTACAAGAAGAAAAAGAAAAAAAAGGAAAACAGAATTATTTCAATTATATTTATTTTCTTTTATTTTTATTAAAAATATAACTTGAAATTAAATCGTTATTCTACTACATTTGGAAGGAGTCCAGATAGGGTCATGCAAATATTGGCATTGAGATTAAGAAATTATAGTCATTAGTTATTAACTTATTATAACTGACAGCCTAAAAATTAAAAAAAAAATTACCGTAACCTGTTTGATTTGGCCTTATGGAAACAGTTATTAAAGAGGAGCTTACTTGATCAAGCAACATATAAGGACTTTTTTCTTTTTTTTTTATGATTAGGGTGTTTTTAGATCCGTTTTTGTACATATAAAGGTCATTTTTTTAAGTGATTCTAATGATATATCTTCACATTAGGTAGGTGCATTTAAAATTTTAATTTTTTTTAATTATTACTCTTAAAACTTAAATTCTAAATTTATTTTACAAAATGACACTTATAGTATATTCAATTTTTGAGATTAATAAATAAGGTTTATAGTTTATAACCACTTTATATATATATATATAAAAGTTGTTTAAGATGACACAAATATATAAATTTTGAATTACAGATAACAATCGAAACATACAAGCACTTAATTACTTTTAAAATAGAAAGATAACGGTGAACTATTTTTACAAGTTTGGAGATTTTTAATTATTGCTTCTATCCTTTGAGAAAATTGGAAAATGTGTACTAGATATCTTTAATTTAACTTTAAAGATGTTGAATGGCCAAAAAAACCCTTTAAGATGTTTATTTTTAAGCATAATATTGATGTAAGAAGTTTTTAAAATAACTTAAAAATAATTAACTTTAAGGTGTATGTAATGTGATTTGGGTACACTTAACCATAAAAGAAAATTGTATCACATTTCTCCTATGAAATGTCAAAATTTGTGCAGAGTCTTATACCGAATTTTCTTGTTCAATAATTAGCCCTTATAAAAACAGCTTTATATATGTATATATATATATAGGTAAAGCTTTTAACTTATTTCACTTTAATAACTCACAAAATGATAATCACTCAATATTTGATAAATCACAATTAAATTGTTAACAAAATGACAAAAATATAAAAATTAAATAACAAATTGCACCATAAATGAGATATGTAGTAATATTGTTAGTAAAAAATTAATTACTTAATATTGTAAAAATTAAAATTCCTAACTGTAATTTTAAATTAAAATTTGTAAATAAATAAATACCAACTCAATAAAATATTTGCTGCTAAATGATATTACCAAAACCTCCACATTGATTGTGAAAGGATTGAATCACAAACCCCCCATATCATTTCTCTGTTTCAAGACAATAGGGAACCAACGCACATTATGGCTAAAGGGAAAAAGTTTTGTTATTTTATTCAATTAGTGTATAAATTAAACTAATTATTATGCATGAATTAATTAACAATAAAATTAGAACTTCATTTTTGTTATTGATATACTTGGTGGACCTCTTTGCTTCATTTCAGGTTACAATTTACATTGTACAAAAAGTACTGTTTCTTTGCCGACTGAGAATCCGAAGCTCAATGATATGATATGACTATTGAGGAATGAGTTGCCTTTTTCATCGTCAGAGAGTTAAAAAAAAAAAAGAGAAAAAGGCTAGCAGTTTATCCAATAGCTTGGTAACAAAGTATAAAAGTCCTTTTTTAAATTAAAAAAAAAAAAGCATAGTGTAATACATAAACTATTATATTATCAGAAATTTTTAATGCTTTGTTGTTCTAAAAGTATACTTCACTTAATAAAGTCCTGTGAATTGCGATGGCCATTGGATAGGGATTAAGATGTAAATAAATCACATAAACAAACAGCTTGCTTCGGTCTAATGTTATAGATTCTGAATTAAGGTCGTTCACCTCTTGTAGGTAATAAGTTTGATTCTCACAAATTTTCTTTTCTTTTCTCATAATTAATACATGTAAATAATTTTAATATATTTAAAAAAAAAATAAATAAATCACAAAAACACATGTTTTTTATATTTATCTTTTTATATAGTACAAAAATTATTGGAAAATTTAAATGGCAATAATTGTTAATTTAAACCATTAAATTGAGTAAGGTATAAATTTATTAATATTAAGTATTATATTTTTATTTAATAATTTTTATTTAATAATTTAATATAATATAAATTATAAAACAAGCTATATACTCTTTATAATATTAATATAAAGAAATACAACAAACAGGAACGAGACAGCAAGAAAAAGGCCAATAAATACAGACTGGAGAAGAAGCAAGCAACCCGTCCTTTGTCCTTTTTCATGACTGTATTCTGTATATAAGCAAACAGGGAGAAGGAGAAAGTCGGAGGCTTGATATAAAAGGTATACGGTGAGATTTATACAAAAGTATATATATATATATAGAGGCGAGCCAATTTTTTTTCGAAGGACGACATAATTTTTTATATATTAATTTATAAAATTTTAGGAGGCGCACCCCCTCCTTCCGCCCCTGTATATATATGTATATACACACATATAATAAAGGGCTGTGATTAATGATTATGATACTAATAAAATTATTAAGATTATTAAAATTGTATTTAAAAAATATTAATTTTATTTGATTTTATTATAAGAAATAATTAATAAAATAATTGATTTTTATTATTTAATAAATTAATATTTAAAAAATATTAATTTTATTTGATTTTATT